TAGGACCCCTTCCCATTTGCATGAGCTTGTACCACTGAGCTACATCCCCTGCCCTTTTTTTTGTGTTTTTAGTACATGTTTGCAGTACATGACATTTGCATTCAGCTTGAGGAGTAGGTACATGTACAAATACAGGTTTAAAAAAAAAATTCCCTTCCCCTTCCCATCCACCTTGTTCCTTCCATCTCTGAATACCCTTTCCTAATTTTGTGATTACTATTCTTTTTTGTTTTTGTTTTTGTCTTTGTTTTTTGAGACAGAGTCTTGCTCTACAGTTCAGGCTGCCTCTGAGCTCACTATGTAGCTCAGGCTGGTCTCAAACTCACAACAATCTTCCTGCCTCAGCCTCCTGAGTGCTAGGATTACAGGCTTGTACCACCATGCCTGGCCTTGTTATTATTATTCTTAACTCATGTTTATGATATGTAACGTTTACATCCATTTAGTTTATTAGGTTCCTGTACATTGCATACCTTAATTCTTCTTACTTTCTCTTTCTCACCCCCAAGGTCTCTAGGACCCCTTCCCATCTGCATGAGATTTACCTCTTTGTTTCCTTCTATTCATCCTTTATTGTGCTCTTTGTACTGTGCCTTACTCAAATGAGAGATACCATATAGTATTTAATAGTGTGTATCCGATTTATTTCACTCAGGGTATTTTCCAGGTACATCCATTATCCTACAAATGTCTTAAATATCCTTCTTTATAGCTGAGTAGTAGCCAATTATGTAGCAATACCACATTTTCTTTATCCATTCATCTGTTGGTGGGTATACAGGCCACTTTCAGGATTTAGCTATTATGATTTGTGCTGCTGTAAATATTGGTATGCATGTTTCGTGGTGGTATGATGTCTATAGCTTTTAGGGGAAGATAACTAGAAGGAGAATAGCTGAGTCATATGGAATTTCTAATTTTAGTTCTTTGAGAAATTGCCATGCTGATTTCCATAATGGTCGTACCACTTCACATTCCCAATGTAGGAGGTGTCCTTTTTCACCACAGCCACGCCAGCATTCACTATTCTTTCACTTCTTGGTGACTACTATTCTTTCTGGTGCAAGATGGAATCTTAGCATTGTTTTAATTTGCACTTCTCTGATGGCTAGAGAGGCTGAATATTTTTTCATATGTTTATTAGCCATTTGTACTTCTTATGAGAAGTGTCTGTTCATGTCACTTGCCCATTTCTTGACTAGGTCTTTTATTTGTTTTTATTTTTGTGTTCATTACATATTTTTGATAGTAGTCCTGTCTGAGGAGCAGTTGACAAAATTCTTTTCCCATTTTGTAGGTTGTCTCTTCACTCTACTGATTCCTTTGTCATGCACATGATGTTTGATATAATCCCATTTGTGGTTCTTGCTGTTACTTTTTGCAATTGGGTTTCTGTTTAGAAAGTCCTTGCCTACACCTATGACTTCAAGTGTTTTACCTGTTTTATCTTCCAGGAGGTTCAGTGTTTCTGCTTTAATGTTTAGATCTTTGATTCATTTTGAATTCAGTTTAGTACATGATGAGAGACACGGATCCAGCTCCAATTTTTTGCATTAGATGTCCAGTTTTCCCAGAACCATTTGCTATCTTTCCTCCAGTGCATGCTTTTGGTTCCTTTGTTGGAGCTGAAATAGCTGAATGTGTCTGGGGATGTTTCTGTATTCTCTCACTCTCTCTCTCTTTTTTTTGGTGGTACTGGGAATTGAACTCAGGGCCTTGTGCATGCTAGGTAAGCACTCTACCACTGAGCTACATCTCCAGTTCTGTATTCTGTACTCTGTTTCATTGATCCACATGTTTGTTTGTGTTCCAGTATGATGCTGTTTTTATCACCATTGCTTTGTTGTATAGCTTGAAATCAGGTATTATGTTGCCTTCTGCTTTGTTCTTGATGCCCATGATTGCTTTTGCTATTCTGGGTCTCTTCTGGTTCCATATGAATTTTAGGATTGTTTTCTCTAGATCTGTGAAGAATATTGTTGGTATCCTCAGGAGATTTCATTGAATCTACATAATAATTTTTGGAGTATGGCTATTTTGATGATATTGGTTCTGCCTATCCAAGAGCAGGGGCCATCATTCCATTTTCTGATGTCCTCTTTAATCTCCATTTTCAAAATACTATAGTTTTTTTGATTAGGTTAATTCCTAGGTATTTAAGTTTTCTTGATGTTACTGTGAATGGTATTATTTTCATAATTTTTTTCTAAATTGAGATCATTATTGGGGTACACAAATGCTATTGGTTTTTGGGTGTTGATTTTGTATCCTGCTGCACTGATGAAGTTGGTTATTCTAAGAATTTTTTGGTGGAATTCTCTAGGTCTTCTCTAGGTCTCTAGTATCATGTCACCTGTAAACAATGCTAATTTGAGTTCTTCCTTTCCTGTATATATTCTTTTCATTTTTTATTTATTTTTTGGTACCAGGAATTGAACGCAGGACCTTGTGCTTGCCAGGCAGGCGCTGTGCTGCTGAGCTAGTTCCCTGGCCACCCTTTTAAATATTTATTTATTTATTTATTTATTTATTTATTTTTCTGTTTTTGTTTTTTAAGACAAGGTCTTCCTCTGTAGTCCAGGCTGGGCTTGAACTCACGGCAGTCCTCCTACCTTGGCCTCCTGAGTCCTGGGATTACAGGCGTGCACCACCACACCCGGCTTCCTTGCTTTTTTTTTTTTTTTGGTTTTTCTCCGGTACCGGGAACCGAACTCACGACCTTGCGCTTGCCAGGCAGGCGCTTTTGCCGCTGAGCTAAATCCCCAGCCCCCTCCTTGCTTTTTTATGGTTGGATAATATGTGACATTTCATTTATGCATTTGGTGAACACTGGGTTGCTTTTACTTCTTTTGGCTGGTGTGAATAATGCTGTTAATCCCTTAAACTGAACCAGTCTAGGCTGATTCATAGTGATATGTCCTATTTTCCTTTCACATGCTAGTAGAATTTAGCCATCAACTATTAGTGCTTTATTGGGGGGTGCTGAGGATTGAATGCAGGATCTGTATACAGAGCTACATTCCAAGCCCTTTTTAAATTTTTTGAAACAAGGTCTCTCTAAGTTGCTAAGTTGCCTGTGCTGGGCTAGAATTTGCAACTCTCCTGTCTCAGCTTCCTAAAGTTCTGGGATTATGTTACTGTGCCTGGCTGTTCTTTTCTTTTTCCTCTCCTTTCCCTCTACTCCTCTCTTTCTTTGGGAGACAGGGTCTTGTGATGTATTCTAGGCTGGCCTAGAACCTATGTAACTCCAGGCTGGCCTTGAACTCAGGGGATTCTCTGGTCTCAACTTCCAGAGTGTTGGGATTACAGGTGAACCTAAAGATGCCCACTCTTAGTGTTTTGTTCTGTGTTTTGAGACAGGGTCTTGCTATATAACTCAGGCTGGCCTTCAACTCACTATATAGTCCAAGCCGGTCTCAAACTCCTGGCATCCTCCTGCATCAGCCTCCGGAGTGCTGGGATCTTAGTGCTTTTTTTTTTGCAGGTGGTGGCTAAAATAAATAATGACAGAGTTGAGTTACTGAAATTTGGTTGCCTCTGTAGTCAGGTCCCACTGATCCCCTCCCACATCTGCTGCAGAAGTGTAGCACATTCTCTAGCTGTTTTTGTCATATTTTCCTCACCAGGAATGGGTGTTCCTCCTCCTGGGTTATGTGAAAGTGGGATGGGTTCGCGAGGTGAGGAATGGCAGACACTTTCCTCTTCAGCCTGAGAGGCAGAGTGGGGCTGAGAGGGTGGAAGAACCGCCATCACTCTGTGGGAGAGAGTTTCTCTCTCTCAATCCATTCACACCTCTAGTGAGGGAAGGCCCCAAAGTCCGGCTGCAGCTCTGAGTGTCCCGGGCTGCAGGGAGGACGAGGGACGAAAGGCAGGCTCCACCTCTGCCGTTCACCGGGCATCTAACCACTACCGTGTCTTTTCTTGGAAATGATTCACGCTACTGCTATTGAAGCTGCACTTTACATGTTTTCTTGAAACAGGAATTTGTAGGACTACACAGTGAGATCAAGGCCAGCCTGAACTACATAGCAAGAGGCTGTCTCAAAATAATCTAAAAAACAATTCGCAGGACCACAGCTTCTTGTATTATTTTGATTAGAAATTAGTTCTCAGACTCCAATCTTGGCAGAAAAGACATCTTTTACTTTTTTTGCTATACGTAAGTTGGGATTTTTTTTTTTGTTCTAAAACTTAATCTTCACCGAAATTTACCTTATTACAGGCTAAAATTGTAAAGGTTTAAAAAACATTTTTTTTCTTTTTCCAGACCTTACACATGCTGGGGAAACCTCCACTACTGAGCGACATCTCCAACCTCTAACAGTGCCTTCTGGTAAACAAACTTGTTTTTCAGGAATGTAATTTTTTTTTTCTCATTTATTTTTTCTTTTCCCTCTCCCTAGTTCCCCTTCCTGTTTGAGCATTTTCTTCAGGAATGTAATTTTGTATGTTGTTTGTAGTCACCGTTTGTTTTTAAATGTAAGCTTAAGACAATTTTATATATACCACCTGCATAGAAAATATTGTTACCTGCTACTATAAGGTAGTTTTCTGTATATGGAAAAGCTTACTTTATTTTACTTTTTTTGTCTTTTGAGATGGTTTCGTTATGCAGTTCAGGCAGGCCTTGAACTCACTATGTAGCCTGGGGCAGCCTCAAAATCACGGCGATCCTCCTGCCTCAGCCTCCCAAGTGCTGGGATTACAGGTGTGTGCCAACACACTCGGCTGGAAAAGCTTATTTTAAAATAAACTTACTTAGTCACAAAAGTGAGTCAATTCAAATAAAATAGTAATAAGATAATAATAACACAAATGGCTTGCAGATACGACCAAACTAGGCCGGCATCAGTCCAATTCCTTTGGGAAAACGGGTTCACTCCTCAGCGGAATGCAAAGTAACAGAACTATGGAGGCCGGGAAGGCCAAAATAAGCCTGGAGCGCACTCGCCACTCTACCCACCTCCCCTCTATTGGGCGCAGTGCGCAGGCGCAGCGGCGCTCCCCCTCGGGCCGCTGAGCCTCACTGCGCACGCGCGGGCGCCTGCTCGCGTGGTCCCGGGGCAACTGCGTAGCTGGCGGGGTGGGCGCGCGGAGGGTGTGGGATGGGCGCCGCCGAGGCCGACCGCTGGGCGTGGCTGCTAGTGCTCAGCTTCGTGTTTGGGTGCAATGTCCTTCGGATCCTCCTCCCGTCCTTCTCCTCCTTTGTAAGTGACTGCCCGGCCTTCCAGGGACCGACGCGGTCGGCGTGGACCGGGCGCCCTGGCCTGGCCCCGGAGGGCCAGTGCGGTTGCCGGAGCGCCTGCGTGGTCTGTTCTGTACTTTAGGGTTTAGCAAAAATTTTTATTTATGTATATTTCTGAGAGACAGAGTCTCGCGGTGTAGTCCAGGCTGGCGTGAACTGGCAGCGATCCCCCTGTCTCAGCCTCTCCAGTGCTGATTACGGACGTTCCCCACCGCGCCAGGCCTGGTGTCTTGCTTTTCTGAGATGATTCCTAGCGCCCGAAAGTTGCGAGGCTTCCCCTCTAAAATCCCTTTGCTGGATTTTCGCGGGTGGAAGACACTTGGCGACACCTGGCCAGGCTTTCACGTGCAGGATCTCCTGCGGCTTCAGGCGGGGCGAGCCGGGGCGACCTCGGTGCCTGGTCGGCAGCCTCACTCCTTCCGGTTGGCCCGGGGCCTGGGGGAGCTGAGCGCGCTTGGTGGGCCACACGCGTGCTTGGCAGGGTATCCTGGAGGCCTCGAGTCCGTTGTCGCTCGATGTCAGGGTGCAGGCACCCCCATTCTGGAGGGGTGGGGCAGGGAGAGTGTGGTGTCTGCTGTGTGCAGGGGAGCCGCGAGCACTGGGGAGCACCCTCTCTGCTTGCGTCCTGCGCTGGCAGTGACTGCCTTCCACGCGTCCGCGCGTCCGAATACAGCGAGAAGGGACTGTCATCATCGTCTCTTCCGTTACCTCCCAGAGGGAGGGTCGGACTCAGAATTGTGTAGCTGCACCAAGTCGCTCTGCCTAGTGACTGCCGAGTGGTTATTGCTTTGTGATTCTCCCAGTTCTGCCGTCCTACCTATTGCAGCACAAGTAGAGGTGGGCTGGCGAATTGCACTGGGCAGGGGAGGGTGGGGTATAGCGGAGCCCACCCTTTAGAGGGGAAGCAAGGGGCAGTCTGGCCCAGACTAAGACTTCGGAAGGAAAGCGGCCTTGCTTTTTCCTCCTAGTATAAATTGGTATCGGGGAGGTACATGTTTAAGACGAGGCAGGACTTCTGCTTCTTGCATGTTTTATTCTAACAGTATTCATGGACTCTTTTTTGCAAAGCTGTTTTAGTAACTTCCTTTGTCACTGAGATGTAATATCTGACGTTTGCAACGTAAGGACATTTACTTTGGCTCCTTTCAGTCATAATTGGCTGCTTCCAAGGCAGGGTGTTGGCAGAGGGGCCTGGCGGAGTAGGGCTGCTCAGGCCGGGGAGAACCGGAAGCAGAGAAAAGGGGGAAGCGGGGGAGGGAGATGAACCCTTCAGGCCACACCCCCAGCGCCCTCCTCTTTAGACCAGACCGCGCCTCCTAAGAGGGAGTCAGTGCAGCCCCCACAACTCAATCAGGTTCCAGAAGCCCCACCTCTAAGCACGTGGCGCTCTCGGACAGCTAAATGTAAACCATAACAATCGTAACAGTTTTTTTTTTTTTTTTTTTTTCCCGGTACCTGGAATCGAACTCACGACCTTGCGCTTGCCAGGCAGGCGCTGTGCTGCTGAGCTAAATCCCCAGCCCCCATCGTAACAGTTTTTAAGTGTGCAGTTTGGTGGCGTACCTCCAGTGGAGGTACATTGTTGTGCAACCTATCACCATCCCAGAACGTTTTCATCTTCCCCGTGAAAGACTCTGTGCCCCTTACACGAGTCCCATTCCTCCCTCCTCCAGTCCTGACAGCCACCAGACTCGTTCGGGTGGAATCACACCTTGTTCTTTTAGTATGGTATCTTTAGGGTTTGTTTTCGTTGTAGCATAGGTCAGATTTCCTTCTTTTCCTCCCTACTGAGGTCAGAGCCAGAAGCACTCTACTACTGAGCTGCATCCTCACCCCCCACCCGCGTTTTGGGGACAGAGCCTTCCTAAGTTGCCCAGACTGCTCTTGAACTTGCTATCCTCCTGCCTCAGCCTCCCAGAGTGCTGGGATTTACAGTCCTGTGCCACCACGTCTGGCTTGAGGTCCACTTTCTACCCAGTGAAATGACTGCCTTAAAAAGTCCTTGCCATCTGCCCTGTGTGGCCCTCTGGCACTCTCACCGGGCCTCCCTCTGTGGGAAGACGCTCCTGCCTGGGCTCTGACCCTTGCCGTGGTGCCCCCTTCACCGTGCTCTGCACCCCGCCTTGCTCCACCAGTCTCTCGTGGGCCTGCGTCCTCGGGAAGGGCAGAGGATGCAGGGTCCATGTCACTGGAATGAAAGCTCCATGGTGGAAGCTCCATGGTTTCATTTTATTATTCCAGGTGCATGGTTACAGTGAAAGGCACATACCTGTCCGGCAGTGATCCACAGACATTTGTGAAGGGAAATGTACCTTGGACTGGAATTCAAATAGCAGGCACAGTTGCGTGTGGTGGCGCACGCCTGTAATCCCATCACTTGGGAGGCTGAGGCAGGAGGATCACTGTGAGTTTGAGGCCAGCCTGAACTACATAGCAAGACCCTGTCGCAAAAAAAAGAAGGAAATACCAGGGACGTCTTGGGCTTCTTGGTGTCATCGGGAGCAGGAAGAGAGAGGCACAGAGCCCCTCCTTGGGGCCGAGAGGGAGAGGGCTGCTCATTTGTCCAGTGGAGGGTGGCTGGAGCCATCTCAAAAGCAGTGGCATGGGGAGTCACCTGAAAGGACACCTGGTCTCCAGGTGGGGCTGGCTGGAATGACAAAGAATCAAGCTCTAACTGCTAGGTGCTTGGAGCAGAGCGTTTCTCAGGGGACCTTATGAGTGGCACTGCTCTTGGGACACCCAGCCAGGACAGGGTGTCCGCCCCAGGGGCCAGCTCCGGTCCTGCAGAGTTTGAGGCGCAGCTGGCGGGGTCAGTGTGGGGCTGCTCTCAGTGTGCCCGGTGGCAGCCTGAGCCACGCAAGTCCCAGAGTGGTCAGCCCGGCCGGGCTTCCAGCCTGCCAGAATACGAGCAGGAGCCGCTTCCCCATGTCGCCACGTCCCTGGTCCCCCGCATGGTCAGGGTTCACTGCACTCCTCAGTCAGGGCCCAGACCGCGGGGCGCAGGGGACACCACTCCACCGTGGGCGACGACACTCACCACCCGGCTCCCTCTGCAGATGTCCCGGGTGCTGCAGAAGGACGCAGAGCAGGAGGCGCAGATGCGGGCTGAGATCCAGGACATGAAGCAGGAGCTGGCCACGGTCAACATGATGGACGAGTTCGCCAGATACGCCCGCCTGGAGAGGAAGATCAACAAGATGACGGACAAGCTCAAGACGCACGGTACCGCCGGGCTGGGCGCGCTCTGCTGCTCAGGCTCCTGTGTGTTGCTGGCATTTGAGCTGTCCAGAGCAATCCCACTCCCCTGCTTCCGTTCTCACAGTGTGGCTGGGGAACCTGTTTTCTAAAGGCAGAAACATCCAGGGATCCTCTCAGGTTTCCTTCAGAGCCAGCTTGTCATTGCAGGCTTTCTTCTTTTCAGATTCAGCACTTTTCCTTTCTTTCTTTTTGTTTTATTTTGTTTTTTAAGCCAGGGTCTTGCTATATAATCCAGCCTGGCCTTGAACTCACTATGTAGCCTAGGCTGGCCTCAAACTTCTGGCAATCCTCCTGCCTCAGCATCCTGAGTGGGGATCACAGTTGTGCACCACCGTGTGTGGTTCAAATTCAGCACTTTTTCAGGGAAGCCCAGAAATGATGTCATAGTGGGTTCCCAGGGCCTCCTACCGTCTCTGGACAGTACCCTCCCAACCCTCCCTCACGACGTCTTCTAGGTGCTGTCCCTTTGTGAAGAGCGAGGATCACGGGTGGGGACCTGTCCAGCCCAGGGCTGCCTGGACTCGTGAACGCCTGGGCATCACGGGCTGGGTGGAAATAGGGCCGAAAACTCAGTTCTGTTGATACGTGCCATCTACATTGTAGGAAGAATCTCTGATTTTGATGAGAAATGTTAAAGATTTTCAGAATTAAAGCTCTTTAGATCTCACTATTTGGTGGGTTCTCTTTTAAACAGTGCCAGATCAGGTGGTGGGTGACTTTTAAAAAGCTCCATTTTATATTTTCTAAACTGGGTGGTTGTCACGTTTGTGATTTGAAAGAATCTCTTAAGGGGAGGCAGCATTTCAGTGTGCGTAGGTATTTCCTCAGTTCGGGGCACTGACACGCTGTCTCTCCGTTTTTCCTTTCAGTGAAAGCGCGGACGGCCCAGTTAGCCAAGATAAAGTGGGTTATAAGTGTGGCTTTCTACATCCTGCAGGTGCGTGTGCTGCCGCGGCTGGGGCTGCTGGCCTCGGGACCAGCGGCCTGGGGCTGGGGTCCTGCTGGCCTGTAACCTGGGCGTCCGGCGCTGAGTTCTGTGTGTGCCTCCCCGTCGCGCCCTTCATCTCCCGCCTGCCCTGCCTGTTTCCCTCTCCGCTTCCTTCCTGGGGCTGGGGACGGAGCCGGGCCCTCGTGGGTGCTGTCCGTGCCCTTCCCACCGTGCCCGCCCAGCCCAGCCCTGTGAGTTCTGAGTGACATGCCAGGGGACCCCTGCTCTTGGTCAGAGTTGGGGAAGACTGGGACTCTGGCACACAGGCGCTGAAGTAACTTCTTGGAGCTCCTTCCTCTTGCCTTGCTGGAGTGCAGTCGGGCCGGGGCGTGTGCTGAGCGCTCCCGGGGACGCCGGCCGGTCCCTGTGCGACTGGCAGGGGGCTTTTGCTTACCGCGAGTGTCTTCGCAGGCTGCCTTGATGATCTCGCTCATCTGGAAGTACTATTCTGTCCCAGTGGCTGTGGTGCCAAGCAAATGGATAACCCCGCTAGACCGCCTGGTGGCCTTTCCTACCCGAGTGGCAGGTAAGAACTTTCTGGAAAACTCGGAGGCTGTGGACAGGCTGAGGGAGAGGGCTGTGACGGAAGGTGAGTCCCCTGCCGTCCTCACAGCCTGTGTGTAGAGCTGTGCTTTGAGCCCCCTTCCAGAGGGTCCTGGAGAAGCTGCGTGGCTTGTCAGGTCACCCCTGCACTCCGCTTCGGGAACCCACGGTCACGCCTGGCTTGCGAGTGTCCTGGGGCCTCCACCTCTAGTTCCAGTCTGGATGCGGTCAGCCTTTCTGCAGCGCTTGCTGCTGTCTGCTGTGTTTTATTGCTGAAAGGTGCCCTTGTGGATGTGAGACGCGTCCACATCTTTGTAGATTGAGTAGAAACATAGGAAAACTTTTTTAAGAGGTTCATTAGTTACGGAAAACTCCTCTTAATGCTATGGTTTATTTTTTCCAGTCCTTTTTTTTCATTTGATACAGTTAAGGCTATCTGGCACAGACCACCTTATACTTCTTTTTAACTTTATATTATTATACCACCTTTTTTGTTTGAGGAGAGTGAGACAGGGTCTCATGATGCAGCTCAGACTGGCCTCTGTCTTACCGCGTAGCCCAGGCCCAAGTGCAGACGCACGATCCTCCTGTCTCATCCTCCTGAGTGCTGGGATTATAGATGTGCACCACCCCGGTCAGCTTGTGTGCTTTATATTGAAGGCTCATTCCCTTGAATCTTACTCTGTTCGGGCCTCTGTAAGGAACTGTCCTGGGCTGTGTCACCTACCAGCAGCATACATAACCCTTCTCATGTCAGCAGTTTCTCAGAGGCTGGGAAGGGCACGACCAACGTGCGAGCAGATTGAGTGTTCATGGACAGCCCCTTCTCACTGGGTCCAGCGAAGTGGGAGGGCGGGAGAGCATCGTCCCCTCGCAGAAGGCCTGCTGCTGGCATGGCCACTTCCCATAGGGCCTCCTCACACTGTCACCGTGCAGCTGGGATTTCAGCATAGGAGCTGGGGTGGATTCAGACACAAGCTGATCTGGTAGCGCATCCATTAGCCTCTTTGCCGAAGAATTTTTAGATCTAGTCCTCTTTGGGATGTTGGGATGTCATAGTTATTGGCTTTTTGAGACAGGGTCTTGCTGTGTAGTGCAGGCTGGCCTCAAACTCATGGTGATCTTACTGCCTCAGCCTCCTGAGTGCTGGGATGACAGGCATGCGGCAGCACGCCCGGCTATTTTCCTGTTAAAGGGCACCGATTTCGGTCCTGATGCTGAGCTGTGGAAGCCAGTGGTGTGGCGCATGGCCCTGTCGGTCAGTCTGTGATTGTGATTTGGGACTCTGCTGCAGGAGAAACTCCGTCTCAGGAGAAATGGCTACTCCCAGGACTCCAGAGTCAACCGTGTCCCCTGCTCCTACCCTGCTCTTTTTCTTCCCTGGCACAGCCAGCCAGGCAGGGTGCCTTCCCCGTGTCCTGGAGGCCTCTGGCCACTCCAAAGCTGTTCTGGACAGGGCTGCTCATGCTCTTGGTTATTAGCAGGCTGAGCGAGGCCCACGTGGGTCAGCGCTGCTTTATGTAAACTGCTGTTTGAGAAAAGAAAAAGAAATCATCCCACAGGGTGTGGTGCAGCGTGTTCTGCGCAGCCCCGGGCGTCCAGGTCTGACGGATCTGGACCCACAGATCTTTAGTTTTTATTTGCCCGGCACTCCTCAGCAGGAACGAAATCCTCTTAGATCCTGTAAGTTAAAGAAATAGAGGCAGGACGGTGGGAAGGAGCCCTGGCTGCATCGCTCACGTCTGCGCTTCGCTTTTTTCAGGTGGCGTTGGAATCACCTGTTGGATTTTGGTCTGTAACAAAGTGGTGGCTATCGTACTCCATCCTTTCAGCTGAAAAGGAAAGTGAATCCGGGTACGAGACCTTCACAATGGTTTTCTCTTGGGTTAAAAACCCAGTTGGCACTTTTTTTAAACAAAAGTATGCAGGCTCGTTTTTCTGTTCGTTTGTTCTTGTAATTTATGTGAGATTCTCACAAGAATTAACATTTTCTATACCTGTCATGGGGCCAGAAAGCCTCGCTTATGACATGCGTGTACTGACCAGCATCACGCCAGGTTTGTAATAAATGTGAAACCTCGTATGGAGTTTACATGCTGATTGGCACTGTTGGTGTATTTTGATCTCAACTGGAAAGTCAAAATTTTCTACAAGACAATGCTATTTTTAGTTCAGTTTAGAAAGTAACAATTTTAATACCACTGTAGTCTTACCTTGCTCTGAAACTTAGTGAATTTAATGCTTGATGCTTTTTGTTGCAAGAACTTTGTCCAGGACCGGTTGGTTGTTGGGTACGCGACACGAGCTCAGGCTCCTTGGTGTGACCCGCTGCGGCTTCCAGCCAGAACAGCTGGTTTGGTGCTTGTCCTTTTTGGTTCTTGTGCCTCCCAGAACCAGTTAATGATCAGGACCAAGGTACTACCGTACTAGAATTTGACAGTTTGTTTTTTAATCTCACATAGTTCATCTGGAAGAACAACACTAATGGGCATCGTTTGTGCTTTCTTTTCTGTTTAAAATGTCGTCTGCTAGACAAGCATTTGTATAGTGTGTGCTATTTACTTGTTTGAAGGTATTAATTTTTCCTTACAATGTTTTATGAACACACTTATAAGACCATGTTTTGTGCTCAGATGGTGTTTTGTATTTCAGCCATTTCAAATGAAGTGTACTTTATAAGCATTTACTGTTTGTGGTCTATAGAAAAAAGCAAAGTGGAAGGTCTGATTAAATTCACCCGAACTGATACTTGTTTGGGCTGTAAGTATAATTCTGCTAAACTTATTTTCTGAAGCACTTTTTCTAATTAAAGTGTTTGCAGGCGCTTGTGTGACTTCTTTCCAGCCGCCTACCTGCTGCGGGCAGCCTGTCCCTGACGCGGGCTCTTGGCCTTCGCTCAGCAAGGCTGAGCTGGTCACTGGTCTCGGAAAGCTTGTGTTTGTGCTCTGCGCTCCCTAGTGTTCAGTGAGGAGCTCGTTATTATCCACACCCCCCTCCCCCCCACACACACACTGGGACACAAGCTGCGGGCCTGTCGTTCAACGTCAGACTGAAGCCCCAGGCTGGGTTTGGTCCCCGTATCTGATTCGGACTCAGCCTGCTGAGCTCTGCCAGCCGATTCAGGACTCAGAGCGTGAGCACCGCAGAATTAATAGCAGGCCCCAGCCGCCGGGCTCTTGGGCCTCCTCATTCCCCAGGGGACACCGTGGCCAGAGGAGGAGAAGCCACCCAGGGAGAAGAGGAGCTCGGGTCCCTGCATGGAGTCAGCACCCAGCTTCTTTCCTGCTGCGCTGTCATGCACCCTGGGTGCTCCCTGGGACAGTGCAGCCCTGCCCGAACCCCTGTTCTCCCGGCGTGGTGGCAGGAGCTGTGACACACCTCCCTGGGGTGGAGGGAGACGTGTAGCTTCTTTTCATGTTAGTAGTCTGTGACAATTAAGTAGGGAAATACAACTGTCCTTTATGAGTCACATTGTGCCTTTAAAAAATTGTATTTGTTTAAAAATAGATAATAAGCTGGGCATGGTGGGGCATGCCTGTAATCCCAGCACTCAGGAGGCTGAGGCAGGAGGATCTGTTGCAAGTTCGAGGCCAGTCTGGGCTACAAAGTGAGCTCCAGGCCAACCTGATTTAAAAAGATACAGGAAGGGGTACAGAAAGTATAACTTCTGGGCAGGGCGTGGTGACGCACACCTGTAATCCCAGCACTTGGGAGGCTGAGACAGGAGGATTGGAGGGAGTTAGAGGCCAGCCTGGGCTACAGAGTTCAGGGCCAGCCCGGACTGCATGGCGAGACCCTGTCTCAAAAAACACCAGAAAGAAAAAAAGAAAGTGTGACTTCTGACCCCAGCTGTCCTGTCACCAAGTTCCCAGTTTGCCACTGTTGGCAGTTTGTTATAACTCTTCCACTGTCCATGGGTTTATGAATGTTGATTTATGTGCTTTTAAAATAGGCTTTTGAAAACTTTTTTAAAAATGAAATGATTTTTCGTGGTCCTTATCTGCAGTACGTGGTGACTGCCTTTGCTGCATGGAATTGGGGGCATGTGCAAAACACAGCTTTGTTCTTTCTCCCTCTCCTCCAGCTCTTAGTCCTCTTCCCATTTGCAAAATTGTAACCGCTTCTTTTTTAAATTATAAAAGTAAAACTGGGAGCCGGGGATTTAGCTCAGCAGCATAGCGCCTGCCTGGCAAGCTCAAGGTCATGAGTTCGATTCCCGGTACCGGAAAAAACAAACAAACAAACAGTAAAACCGGAAACATGAAAGTCCTTCTTCTTTTTCAAGCCTTAACTTGGCAAGTACAGAAGAGGAGCAAGAAGGCGTGGCATCCGCTGCTGCCCGGCTGGGTCTGGCACCAGTGTCTCTGCACTTTGCTTCTCTGTGTGCAGGGTGCGTCGTGCTGAGGACAGCCGAGGTTCATGATTTTACAATGTATAAATGTGTGAAGATAGGTGCACACATGTATCATGTTTATTAAAATGATATTTTAAAAGCATAAGAACAGACATTTGATGTAAAATACACATAACCTAGTACTCTTTCATCCAGTCCTGTCATAAGCATATGGTCCACTAACCAATTTTTTTTGTTTTTTTGAGACAGTGTAGTCTAGGCTGGCCTGGAACTCACTGTGTAGCTCAGGCTGGCCTGGAATTTACGGCAATCCTCCTGCCTCAGCCTCCCAAGTGCTGGGATTAGAGGTGTGCGCCTCCAGGCCTGGCATCTTTTTTTCTTTTTCCTTTTGGTACAGGGTCTTACTGTGTAGTTCAGATTTGCTTTGAGCTCACTGGCCTCCAAGTTGAGGTGCCCCTCCTGCCTTAGCCTCCTGAGTGCTGGGATTACCTGTGTGTGCCAGGGTTCTGGCTTTCCTTTTCCTTTTGATTTTTTTTTTTTTTGGTACTGGGGATCGAACTCAGGACCTTGCGCTTGGCAGGCAGGTGCTTGTGCTGCTGAGCTATATCCCCAGCCCTTTCCTTTTCCTTTTAATTTTTAATTTTACTATGTGTTTGTGACCCATAATTCTGTGGCCCGTGGGGCGTGGTATCCACGTACACAGCACATCATCACCTTGACCTCCACCGCCCGCTAGCCCTGCCCTCCCTGTCTTTCCGAGCTTCTGGTCCCCAGTCTGCCTCCCCGTTCCCCTCATCGCACTCCTTTTTCCCTGAAGTTGCTTGTATTTTGGGTTTCTCATGTGTCGTTTGTAGGAAAATGGATGCACCTTGAGACCTTGGCGTTCAGCAAAGTCAGAGGGCTAAGTGCTGGGCGGTTTCTCCGGGGCTCCTCCCACCACCAGGAGGGACAGTGCTTAGGACCCTCCCTGGCCTGGTGGCCTCTGGTCCCGCTGCCGTCCTCAGAGCATGGGGGTGCGGCTGAGAAGCGACCCGTTGAACACCAGACCCCTGGCCTGCGGAGGGACGGTGACTTCTGTTCCTTACCCTCCTTGCCTGACCTCTGACGTGACGTCCATGTGACCCGGGAGCCAGACGATTTTCCGCTGCCTCTTGGGGTCTGTGCTTGTGGCTTTGGTTGCCAGTGGTTCAGGGTGCTGATTTTTGGTAAGGAAAGATTATCTTTGGGTGCCTAAGCCCCGTGAGCAGCCCACTCTCTGTTAGCTGGGCTTTCTCCTCCCCTTCCCAGCTGATGCCAGAGTCCTACGGTGGCTTCATGCCAGGGCCACGGACGCCTCTCACTGCAGTGTGTTCTGCACAGTTGCAGTGTCGCCGTGCACAGCGCGGGAGGATCTGCTGGCGCATGTTGTCCCATGCGGCTGTCTGCGGAGCCTTGCAGTGGCCTTGCGGCCGGGCCATGCTTCTGTCATGTGAGGCGGGCCTTCTCCGTCAGTGTCAGCTCTCAGCACCGCTTCTCACTGAGCCCGGGCAGAAAGCCAGTGAGGTTGGGTCTTTTTTTCCTTTATGTTTGCTAAACTCCCAGGCTGGCCTCGAACTCCCAGTGATCTCCGGCCTTAGCCTTCTGAATGCTGAGACTACAAGGGTGGACCACCATACCCTGTGTCTTGTAAAAAAAAAAATTCTTTTTATTAAATGTTGGGAGGGATAAAAGAATACTAAAATAGATGTTTTATATAATAATATGATATAATGCTAATATTTCCCACTCAGAAGGCTGAGGCAGGAGGGTCACAGCAAATTCAAGGCCAGCCTGAACTAGATAGACCCTATCTTAAAAAACCAAAAATATAAAATAGAATAAAATAGAGGGACACAACCAGAGCCAGTGGCCAAGTCCAGCCAGCCCTCTTACACAGACAACCAGACCACATACGTATGTACAGTCTCTGGCTCTTTGCAGCATGTCATGGTGGAGATGAGCAGTTGTGACAGACTGTACCTCATAGGCTTAAAATATTTACTGTCTGGTCTTTTCCAGAAAACATTTGCTGATCCGTGCCTGGGAATTTCCCTCTGTGAGATTCTCTCCCTTTTTTTTTTTTTTTTTTTTTTGTCTTTTTGAGACAGGGTCTCGCTATGCAGTTCAGGCTGGCCTTGAGCTCACTTTATACCCCAGGCTGGTTGCAAACTCGCAGCGATCCTCCTGCCTCAGCCTCTCCGAGTGCTGGGATTACAGGTGTGCGCCACCACACCTGGCCCTCTGTGAGATTCTGATGGTGGCAAACTTTGACGTTTTGTTTTATTAATTAATTAATTTATTTAGAGATAGGATCTCACTGTCTCACTGCAGTTCAGGCTGGCCTTGGCCTTGCTGTGTAGCCCAGGCTGGCCTGGAACTTGCTGTGATCCTGCTGCTTCAGCCTCCTGAGTGCTGGGATCCCTGCCAACTTTTTGTTTTCTTGAAAATGTGTTTCTGTTTTGTTCGTATGCAGTAGTTCTGGAGGGTTGACAGTTGTGGGATAACGGCTGTTTTGTCGGTGTATTGGCGAACCTCCCCCGGTTTTCTGGATTTCCCATCGTTGCTGCTTGGAAGCCCCGTTGTTCCTCTGAGGGTGGACTCTCTTCTTTATGTTCTTTTTGTGAGTCTGTATTTGGGGTACACAGTGATTACTCTCATGGGGAGCTGATGCATGTGTATTGCACGGCGTAGTTCCTTTTATTCCCCCTTTTTGTGGTACTGGGAATTGAAACTGCCTTTGGCGCCCTGCAGCCCCATCGTGCTCTAGCTGCGCAGTGTGAATTGGTGAGTTTCTTTGCGTTTCAGCTTCTGTTGTGCTTGGAAGTCACTGGGCTTTCTGGATGGTCTCTTGTCAGCTCCGGAAGGCTTTCCATCTTTCTCGTAGATCTGAGCCCTGCTCTGTTTCCCCCACTGTTTTTTTTTTTTTTAAACGTGGGTACTGGGAATCGAACTCATGACCTTGAACTTTGCCAGCCAGGCACTTGTTCCCACTTTCTTTGGAAACTGAGTACATACACAGTACCTTTCATGCTAATCTGCATGACATTCTCCCTGTCTCTCTGCACTTTAATATTGATATATTCTTCAGACTTGTATCTTTTTCCTCTCTTCATTCTAGTCTCATTTATGATATGTTTTATGACTGAGTTAATTTGATTGTTTATTTTTAAAATTTTTTTTCTTTTGGTACTGGAATTCAAATTCAGGACCTTGCGCTTGCCAGGCAGGCGCCGTGCCAGTGAGCCATATCCCTGTTTGATTGAGTTAATTTGAATTATTACATGTCTTCTGAGTTGTCAGATGCTTGGTCATTTACTGTAGAACATTTTATGTTTTCAAACTCTTACTTCTTTAAACTCTTACAGATGTTAATAAAGTACTCTGTCTGTTATATTGGAAATATTAGTTCTGTTGGTTCTCTGGCACCATGTCTTTGGTCTGTGTGTTTGTTTTGGTTTATTTTTAAAACTATCTGTGGGGGTTTCTAGAGGCCTGGGTAGAGACTTGCATTTCTGCTGCCTTGGCCTATGACTGCACCTCTTCAGATCTCACTTTCAGGTTCTGCGGACACCGGAGATCCAGCTTCAGGCTGTCCAACCAGGTGAGGACTGACTTTGGCCCCAAAGCCTCAGGGTTTTGTGCAGACTGGTTTGTAATTCACTGAGGCTGGAGACCCTTGTGGGGCGGGGAGGGTGTCCCCTGTTGGGTGGGAAAGGACCTCCTACTTGGGCTGAGTTTTTTCTCTGGTTTGCAAATGGCCTTTAGGCCAGTGATGGTGAAACTTTTAGAGTCCAAATGCCCAAAGTGCAACTCGGAACTCACGCACTTATCCCAGAGCGCCAACACAGCAATTAGACCTGAGGGCCCGGCTGCTGCGGCTGTGCCGAGACCTCTGCGTGCCCGTGCGGCATGCGTGCCCTAGGTTGGCCGGCACTGCTTTAGATGACAGGTGGGTTCAGAGCTTTGCTCGCCTCCCTCCCTGGATGCTTTGGCCGCTGACCACCTGGCTCAAGAGCATGTTTTGCAACAGAGAGATCTTTTGCAAAGGCGGAGGGGACTAAGAAACGGGAAGGAGAGAGAAGGGGCTGTAGAAAGACTGAAGGCGTGTCATGCACGGACCGAGTCCCCACGGGGAACGTCGTCATTCTGTACGGCAAGCATGGGCCGCGTTAAAAAAAATTAAGCTCGTTTTTCCCTACCATCTTGTTCCCTGTCACCATATCCGGGCTCAGAGTTTACCAGCCACGCAAAGTACAGATAATTTAAAGAGCAAAATAAAAAATGGTAGGAAACAGGGAGATGGCTCTTTTGCGAATGGGAAGGGGACCACGAAATGGGGGAGGGGAGAAAAGCGGAAGTAAAAAGAATGTGTTGCTACAGAGAGGTGCTCATTGTGTGCTGCAAACGTGGGCTGACAGAAATAAAAATCGAAGGAAAAGAACCCCTTTCAGAGTTCGTGCAATATTCTTGGCCTTTTGTGTTTTACAGCAAGCCACAGTACTTTCCTACCAGACCCTGGGAGATACGTTTTTAGTTTAAAGTCATTTCCCCTTGGTTATAAAGTTATGTTCACTGTAGAAAGCATAGGAGAAAGCCAGACTAGAAAACACTAAAATTTAAAAATTGGCCACAGTCTCATGCCTCAGAGGTAAGAGTTAGCATCCTGGTATACATGACTTAACTTTCCCTAAGTACTGAGTTAGTTTGGTGAGGAAGCATGTCTGCGTAGCCCTGATTGAGCATTAGGATGTATGCTTTTATTGTGGGGACGTGTAGGATTGAGAAAACCCCTAGCTCATAGGAAGCGGGGACAGACGCTGAACTGTCACTCAGGACGTCATTCCAAGAGTGGTTTTGGCAAACGTCTCTGGAATTCAGGCAACTTGGTCATTCCCCATTCCTCATGAGCCTCTGGGACCTCCAACTCCCCTCCCTCCGTTTCTGTCTTTCCCACTCCCGAATCTCACATTTTATGCCAGTTGTAGCATCTGTCCCATCTTTGGTTTTAAGTGCAATTATCTTCCCACCTTGACTTCCACTGCCTTTTAAAAATGTATTTCACTAAAGTGTGTTAATACCACACACCAAGCTGCAGACACCCTTAGCTACGCTACCGTGTATCCTGTCCTCGTTCACGACCATGGTGGTGCAGAGGAGGAGAGATTACCTCGAGTCCACGTCGTGTACCTTCCAAGAAGGCCCAGGGGGCTGTGTTTTCTCAAGACCCCTCAGTGTGGGAGTCTCAGGAAAAAGCTTTGTGGCTTTTTACTGACAGAACCAGGAAGTGAGATAAAGGACAGAAGGAGGACACCTGTGCAGGAATTCACGCGGTGCAGGGAAAGGCCCGGGTAGTCGGCAGTGGGGAGGGAGAGAACATGGCTGAAGCTGCCCTATCTGAGGATGAGCTGCGGGCGATCCTGCTTGCCTGTTGCCCCTGCAGGTGTTGATCTATAACCACCCATTCCGTGAAGCCTGGGCCGGTGCTGCGGGGCTTCCCTCCATTTCAGCGGTCATGTCAGTCACTCCTCGGCCAGAGTCTCCCCCAAAGGTCTGGATTATAAATGACCTCTGTGACTAAGTGACGGGAAGGTCAGCAGCGGTGGTCTCCAAGCCGACCCTTGCGGTCCCAACTGAAAATACTCTGCGAGTAATAAATACATTCATTAGGACTGAGCAGCTCGCCTGAGTGAACACTACATTTTTTTTTTTGTTTAGAACAAGGTGAAGTGAAAAAAGGTCAAGTCACACTGTGCAATAAAGCTCAATACCGAATCTAGGGCTGGGGATATAGCTCGGTGGCACAAGTGCCTGCCTGGCAAGTGCAAGGTCCTGAGTTCGATCCCCGGTACCAAAAAATAAAAAATAAAAACAAATAAAAAAATAAAAGCCAGAAATACCGAATCTTACGTGTGTCCGCGAGGAAAGACACAAGGACAGTATATGCGATATGAGATAAATCCTCAAGATTTATCTTCATAAAACCAAGCTCGGCAACCGGTGCGCGTGTTTTCCCATAGAAGAGTGGCTCGTCCTGCTCTCGCTCCGAGCTGCGTCCCTCCCGCCGGCGCGACCTTTACCTGGAGAAGACGCGTGTGTCCACGGGCCCCACTGAATACTAAGGCCGTCGGATACACAAACGGGTCTTACAGAAACATCAAATAACGGACGTGGCTCACTTTTAGAAAAAGGATGCAAATTTGTATTTAAAGTGTCATCGCGGGCTGGAATCCAGCAGGTTTAGAAACTGGGTTTCCCCGAAGTCTCACGGGACTGCTCGAGCACGCCCGGCACCCTCGGCCCGCGACCCCCGCGGAAGCAGCAGGCTGGCGGCCGAGGTGCGCGGAGAGACCGGTTATGTTTAAACGGCTCTTTTTCCTTCCGGGGGAGACGGCGACCGCGCGGAGCTGCCCACGGTGGCCTTGGAGTCCCCGAAGGCGTTGCTGGCCGAGGCCCGGCCCGGGGCGGGCGCGGGCGCC